CTTCAGGTGCAAGGAGTGTGTCTGCTTCAGTGGCAGGCGCTGGGTTCGTCCTCCTAAGCGATGACACAGCCTCCCTTCTCCTTGAAGGGGTTCTTGTCCTCGGGAACCCCCTTCACCAGCGGGTCCTCACCCGAGCGCTCCTCGATGTAGTTCTTGATCTCTTCGGAGCACTTGGACACCTGCCGCGGAAGAGCAGAGAAGCGGCTGCATTACGGCCTGAGCTCATCGTGCACGTCACAACAGCGAAACAGAGAATTCAGACCCTCGCTTCCCCTTATTTACCATCCCAACAAACATAAAAGATCTGACCACAGAGACAGCAGCACTTAAACCATGTGCAGACTCGGCTTCCTTCCACTTTTTCACGGGCTGATATCCATAGAACATGAGCGGATCACTGGGAATATATATGCCACTTTGGAACAGCAGTTGTTGGACAGTTAAACTTGCCTTTTGTTTTGTTTTGGTTTGTAATTAGCCGATATAGTTTTATTAAGCTGCAGGTCACACTCTCGCTTAACATCAGCATGACTTACGGTCAATGGGTTCTGGATTGGTAACTTTCAATTCAATTTCAAAGTATTTATGACTTTGCGTGTTTTTCCCAAACAAAACATTCAGTAATGATTTTTCAGTGCTAATACAAATTCTCACCTTGTGGTTCTATAATAGCAACCATGGGAGTACAGACCTGACTTGAAAAGACAATTTTCTTACAGGTTACCTGGGGTTATTTCGAACAACCGTTAATAAAACACCTTATTGTGTTATGGAAGAGCATAATATGCGTGACACTTTGCGTGACATTCATAGCAAACTAGCACTGATGTAGGTAAGCCTGCACAGAACCCGTCTGTGAAGACTAAATGGGTTTACTTTGCGTTCACTGAGGCAGGACAACGTGCAGCACGTGTACTAACAGTGTCTGCAAAGCCCAAGGGTGCACAAGCAAATCCCACCAGCTTTCAGAGGATCCTTGTCCACGCACGTCTCTTGTTTTCCTGCCCTATGTCAGCAGAAACTGTTCTTAGGTGCTTGAGTACCTGACATGTCTGAGGACACGCTCCTGGCTCTGTCCCCATCTCCTCCCTTCCTACCCGCAGTCCCTGCGGAGGCACAGCAGTGCAGAGTCAGCAGCAGGAACCAGCTGTTGGCCAGGCCACTAGATGACTAGTATCTCTAATTTAAGGTCCCTTGCCTTCTTTGTTAATTATATTTTACTCCATAGGTAAAATTACGACAAGAGAAACAATGATTTTACCTGCTGTATGGCAGACCGACAGTGTGGCCTGTGCAAAATTAAGCTTTAAGCCCTCAGAAAGAACTCGGAATTAATTCCCAATTAAACAGTGCATAAAATAAGGTCTAACTACCGCTAGCTGCCTTACAGCAGAGATTTAGACCTACAAATCCCATTACATACGCCTCGCTTTTCTGTGCCTCGCAAACCTGTTCATTCAAATTGGACACCTTACGCCATAGTAAAGGTGTGTTCCAAAGTATAGGCAGGACTGCAATGTGTTTTACTTCAGTCGGCACTATCAGGATCGTCTTCACAATAAGAAAAAAAAGTCTGCTTAAACACCCATTCAGGCATTTTTATTATTTCAAAAGAATTATTCAAAATGATATTTCCTCTTTGGGCTGTAACGGTATAGGAAAGGGTCAAGAAACCTTTGGCTAAACGTTTTTACTTTTGGTGGCCACAGAAGTGTGTCTTCTGCATTTCCCTGTCCCTGTAACACCCATACAGCTACGAGGGGACTGTGAGAACCGCAACACAGATTTCATTCTCACAGTGAAACTTCTGTTGTAACGCACTGGTAAAATTGAGAATGTTGTTTGTGCTTTACTACAGGTGATTTGAAAATATCCCTTTCCATAAAGTGATGAGGCTTTTGGTTTATTCCGAATATTTAGGCAAGAAAAAAAAAATTACTATTATTACTATTGAAAACTGTATCCTACAGAGTATATTTCAGTTGCTTGGGAACTCTGTAAGGGATGATATAGATATCTATAGTACTTGGATGTGGAGTCTTCAGTACTGCTGGAGCTTCAGACTATACCATAAACACCTACAATCGCTGATACCTAATTGACAGCTAAAACATAACTGTCTTTCTTATTTTCTGGGTTGAACACCTAGACCTGCAATGTAATTCACGTGACTGATGCCACTGATTCCCACATATAAATGTATTTGCAGTCCTAACTTGAAGCGTTTATTTAGATGTAGTTTGCTTCTGCTGGCATGCAGAGTAAAAAAAGAAAAGAAAAAGAATAGCAGTTTTATCATGGAGCAAGATCAGCCCTGCATGTCTTTCATCTACGGAAAATGTGCAAAAATACAAAAATTTCACTGGGAATTTTCACCAGCGGAAAGGAACAATCAGCGTAAATGACCAAAAGTGCGGCGTTTCTATGGGTCCATGGATGGATTATGGCTCTGCACCAGCAGTCCTTCGGCTCCTGCCCTCTGCCCGGGCAGAGCAGGGTGCCCCCCCGGGGAAAAGGGCGGCCGTGGCCCCGCCGCTTCTCC